GGTTTCCTGCCTCACCCTTCATGCCTGCCACAGCTGTCCCCACCCCACTGCCATCTCCAACCCCAAACCAGCATCTTGTTCAGAATCTTTGCAAGTGCAGTGTGCCTGCCAGGTGCCCTCATGGCGGAAACAGTGTAGCAGGACCAGGGATGTTGGTTGGACCATGAGAATCACCATGTGCTTCTCAGGCTTAAAATAAATCATGAGTAACTTCCAGAAGGTGAAACAGCATTTTACAACCCAGAGCAAATAGAGAGGCTGCTTAGCAGGCTAGAACTCCGAAGCTCATTAGAGGGACAAATTGACTCAGGAACTCTTTAAAGTGGGCAAGAACACAATGATATATAAGTCAATGAGGCCAGAGTCTCACTTTGCAGTGCTTTGAGCTGTACAAATGCAGGACAGGTTTCTTGCAGGTTTCTCCCCTTACCTGACAATTCAAGACTTACCCTCACTTTAACAGCACATTCTTTTCGCATTTCTGCAAATTTCTCTTTGCTACGCAGGAGTTCTTGAGTTCGTTCATGAGTACCATTCAAACAGTACAATTCATCACATCCACTAATTGATCTTTTACTTAAACCCATCCCAGGAGAACAGAAAGTCTTCAAGAATATGGAAATGGCAGTGTATGTTGGCTGAATTATAAACAGGAAAGGTCTCGTTGGGGATGTAATTTTTAATGATAACACATTGTTATACTGTGAGCATGTAGTATTCTTGCTTGATAAAAACATTTACAAGAACACATACACATCTATATCCAAACACCAAAAGAAGTAGATACTCTAAATAACGTTTACACCAGAAATAAAATATATTATACAAAACAGGGGTTATATCCACAGTCATTAATTATCATTTTCTACACAAAACAATAATAAATTAAATCACATTATATGCAGATAGTTCTACTTACATCAGAATAATAAACTGCATGTAGCTAATGCAGCTTTTTCTTTTGCTTTCTACCAGATTCATGGTAGGCTTGTATTGTTCGGTAGTCCTGTGTTTAAATTTGCAGTAAATAAAGAGACCCAGAGACAAGGGCCGCAGAATCTATCTTCCACAGCGTCTACACCATGTCCTCGTGGTGCCCATTATTCACCCTGCACAGGGAACAAAGCTTCCTTTCCCAGGACCCAGAAACAAATCTGCAAACTCACAGCATCTCAGGCTGTGGATGGGGCCTCACTACCGTCTTGAAATTGCCTACTAGACCTTTCCAAATCATAGCACTGGGTTAGTGACTGGCTATTTAAAAATCCAAATGTTTTTTCCCAACCTTCTCTGTCCAATTATTAAATTAGGTGCTATGATAACTTTGTTCCCCTATCAAAAAAAAGTAATTTGGTGGCCTATGTTGAGATTTGGTGGTGAATGGATCCTTTATTCCCTGTGCAATGAAACTTAAGTCTTTAAACATGTGAATCAAAGCAAGACAGCATAGTTGCTCACTCTTAATTCTGCCTGCTCAAATCACTCTCCAGGAATCATCCCACACCTGATACATCAAAGAGCTATTATAACATATGGATTTTTTACTTCTAAGACTCCGCTACCATTGAGACTCTTCCACTATGCTTGAAGTAGCTTAAAACATGAACATTAACAGCATCAGCTGGGCTAGAATTGCTTTGCCTTTGGTATGAATTGACACTAGTGGTTAAGGAGAAATTTGAACAAACTCCAATCCAGCATCCCTTGAAAGTCATTTTGATCCTAGAGTCTAGCTATGGGGCAGGCCTGCAAGTGAAATTTGTGACATCTGTAAACTGAAAACAAAAACCAGATTCACTGGAACAAATGCACAACACAGGTTTGAGTTGCCCCAGAGCAAGTCTGGTCAAGTTAACACAAAGGTTCTGAAGAAAAATCAGCCGCATTCTTACAGACAACCATGTTTTGTCTTCCTTCCTCTGAGAAAGGACTCAGAGCTCACAGAGTCCACCTGAATAGGCAGATAGATGCTGGCACAGCTTCAAGAGCCTTGATGGTGGAGAGCTGTAGGGAGGAGGGCTGGTTAAGATGTTACTGGCTTGCAAGGCCACCCTCTTCTGTGTCTTAAGGAGGCTCAAACTTCTGATTCTTCTTATAGGCATGGCTCAGGCTTTTTGCTGCATCTGCCTGCTAAAGACGGACTAATTGTTGGTTATTCTATAGTTAAAACAATCAACCAAGCATAAAGTCCAGTCCCTAAAACATAGCTGTTATAGCAGCTTGAGTGGAGGAAGGATGTTTTGGAAAAGCTTCCTGTTGCTCACTGAAGTACAGTCCAGTGTGGACTCCCTCGTGAGGCACTAAGTCACGGGGCACGGCTCACCAGGACCCAGGACACACAGACCTGAGGCCTGCTTTTGGTCGCCTTTGGCTTTATGCTTGCACCCATTCAGGACCTGAGTAGTGTCCTAAGAGACATAGGCGTGTGTTCCTTTCATTAGAGACACTCTTTTAGTTCCCACCAGTATTGTTCTACTTGGCTTCTGAAAGAGAATTCCATGAAGAGACTCACAAGAGGCTGGGATGCCACTGGAACCAACTTTCTGAATAGCTGTCACTCTGTACGAGGCCCATGACCTTAATCTCACTGTCAGCAGCTATCTCATGCTCCCAAAATCAGTGGCGGAAGGAGAGTGATACATTGGAGACGAAGGAGACACTGTGCCTTGAATAAGTTAATGATGCCAGAATCATGTGATGGGAGACATGCAGGGACACTGCAAACCTGAAGTCTTTGAATTTCAGGAAGAAGAGAAAGAAACATTCTCTTTTCATACATTTCCCCTCTCTTCCCATTAAATGCAGCTTCTGCAACATAAGGAACTATTTTAAAGCCTGTGGAACTAGGTCTGTGGCCCAGGAAAGGACAAGCTGCTGGGTCTTCCAAGAAGTATGTTTACAGGGGCTTCCTCAGGGATCCTGGGGCCAGTCTGAGGGAAGATATGTGCTCTTTACAGACACTATTTCTTAGTAGAAGTGACAGATGAAGAAAGTTTTTATTTCTAAGCCCAAGAAAAAAATCTAAGGAGGTGACAATGATGACCATAAAAACCTATACTTACTTCAACCTATGTTTGGCCAAATGAAAGGATACTGATAAAATATCTCTTGAAATCTGAACACCCTAGATTTCAGGGTAAAAATATATAGGATAACTTGAAAACTAAAACCCTATTTAGTTAGTGTGCCCTTTGTGGCTACCGGCAGAGCACGCATGGCTAGTTGTCAAAGACATTGCTAGGTAGTTAGAACTGAAATCCCACGATCTCTCCAGAGGTCTCAACACAGGTGACCTGGGCCAAACACCTACACTTTTAGCTAATGTTTCCAACTTAATGGAGTTTTGGTAACTCATATGGCACTTTCAAGGAAGAAAGCACAGATGGCATGTAAATAAACATCGATCTTATGGACCCTAGAATTACTTTAAGATTGGAGAGAATCTGCATGATAGAAATCTCATGATTTGTTCTGTCATTTTTAAGATACTAAATTACCACTTATTTTTAAAAGCTTATTGAGATTATAATATTAAGTTTAGGACTATTCCTCTACCTGAAATAGAAATAAATTATATTTTCTCTAACTATGTTAGCATTAATGGACCTCTATGTAAATCCTGGAAAGATCAGAAATGTTTATATCCAAAAACAGCAACCACGTAAAGTGATTTTTCCCGCTATATAAGTGCGTTTTCTTTTTTTACAAACTCAAGATAATAGACAATGAATATCTCTAAAATATGTGTAAAATAGCACTGAAAAATAAAAATGAGAGCAATAAGCTCTCCAACTCATGTGAGGGGGTGGGGGAAACAGATACAATCCTTCCATTCTTTTTCCATTTTGCGGGCTGTTGAATGCTTTGCTTACCTGAATTTTACTTCCCAAACTGCCTACATTAGAATTTCTGGCACTTGCCTTTCTTACACTCTTCTTCTATTGTCATTTTTTTTCTTTTAATTCAGCGCTTTTTCCTTTTGTACTGTACTGGAGAACTGCGATCGAGTTGTTTCAGTCGATCATGGTTAATTTTCTCCAGCTCTCCTGCTGCCTACATTCCATTTTTTAAGTATTAGAGTAGAAACGTGCCTCACATAGAAATATAATCTATTCACTTTGGCTGGTTGAAGTAGGAGCGACAAAGGCAGACTCTCCCAGCCACGCACACTCAGGCCAACTCGCAGGACACGCACCAGGCCCCACGCTGGGGTGAACCGTCACCACTATCACTACCAGAGAATGCTCAGTCTCCCCAAGGTTCCTCCTTCCATGTGACCTTTTCACATAGTTTTAAAAACTACTTTCTAGGATGCTTAAAATGTTCTTGAGGAAAGGCCCATGTGACATCATTCTGAGATGTCACCCAAGTCCGGCAACTGCCCATTCTTCCTTCACTGTTTTCTCCACATATCGTAATGAAAGGAGCAACCGGAGGTTGCCAGGGACAGAGCAGTCAGTACTTATTCAACTTTGGCCAGATTCCTTCCATCCACACCCAAACCACCAGCTACTAGTGGATGACGACAAAGCTCTGTGGAGTTTATTGTCAATCTTGGTAAAATGTTGTGTAAGCATTTTTTTATGTGTCGTTTCTGTCCGTATTGCTAAGTTCTAACTCTATAAAATTGTTCTTGAGGAAAAAGGGCTGCGTCCCTTTAGGAAACCCTACCTGATTGTAACAAATTTCACTTTAGATTTTGAACTTTATCAATAGTTAAATATAGAGTCTATAGAATCTGTAATCTGAATACAATTCTAGATCTCTATGATTAAGCAGCAATTGGCATTTGGTTCTGGTCAAAGGGGAGAGGGAACAGGATGAAAAAGAGAAGTATCTTTCATCATTGTTGGTTGGTTGTACACTTTACCCATGCTTTTAAAATATAAGTGAATTTAATCCTCAAAATGAAAAAATAGACACATTTTCTAATAGCAAAATATAAGATTAAAATACTTAAAAAATAAAATGTTAGTGTGAAATATGGCACTTTTTACATTTAAAAAAAAGTTTTATATTTGCTTCTCTTGTACAAATCCTCTTATCTCATTAATAGTTATAGCTTTCCAGAGTAGCTCTTATGAGACATGAAAGGAGGACAGGGAGGAAATTCTTTGTCAGGATGGTGAAGTCAGGACCTGAATGCAGGTATACAATGGACAGAGAACACATCTCAGCCTCAGCTCTACCCCAGCCTGGAGAGAGGAATGCTCCATCTCCAACCGTGAGGTTTTCATCACATTTTCCTATTCTTAGGTGTTAGAATTCTTTCCAAGAATATTCTACTTGTAAAAATTATTTTATTCTAGCTATAAAACATTTCATTTAAGAAAACCACATTTTATAGCTTTGTGTGAAATGAATGCCCCCAAAGGATCAAGACATATGGAGACATCAGATTTTCAAACACACATCAAATCATATGCCCTCAGAACAGCAAGAACATTATCAGGGTGACTTGATAATCTTATATTTGTCATGAGATGAAAGACTGAGAGGCATATGATGATTAATCATAGTTCCTGAGCTTCTAAAGAAATTTTACAATGAAATGACTAAAAGAATGAGTTCAAGAGCGCCCTTTTGTTTTCATTAATTTCTTTCATCCCATCTATCTCCTTAAAGGATCTCAGAGTGAAAGAAAAGACTTCCTTTTAAGCCACCGAAAAATGGGATCTGATGGAATCTTCCCTTAACTCCCGATGTTTTCCAATGTTACTTTCTTCTTGCTGGTTTCGCCTCTCAATGGTTATTCTGTATTTCTTCCTGGGTAAAAGGAAAGTGAATGAGTGAATGTAGTAATAAAACCTCCCTTCGCTACAAAATACTATGGTTTCTCTTACAAAGAATGCCCTCAAGCGACATCTGGGTTTGGGTTGATAAATGAGAAGTGACAGAATATGAAACCCTGGTCAGAGATTAAAGTAGCATGCCCCAAGGCGTGATGCCCTTATTCAAGGAGGAAAACTGGTCTGCTTTCTGAACTGCCACAGAACAAGCCTTCCCCTTCTTTCCTTTGTGCCTTGTGGGTTGTCTTGTCTATTCTGCCACAGACAGCCCCCCAACTCCCAGGATATGCCCTAGATAAAGATCAGATTAAGTGCCCAAAGGAACAGGAATATAATTGTCCCCACAGAGTCACATACATCCAGAGTCACATTTCCAGGCAGAAAAGAAGAACTCTTGGCCCAGTGATTTAAGAACAGCCAAACTCAACCACCAAAGATTACAAAGGACGCACACTGCCCTCAATGTGCAAAACCATCTGTCTCGGGAACATACACGTTACAATTTTACGAAGCTTGGGGCTTAACCCCAGTGGTAACTAAACTTGGGGGTCCTCCAAACGCTGAGAACAGACCAGCCTGAGACACTATACCATTGTAAGCTATGTCCACCTCTTCAGAAGGTGAACCAGGCCCGACACCTATTTCTGAAGTAGTGAAAGACTGAAAATGAGAAAAGTGATCTTTCCTTCTGCCTGTATTCCCTTGGTGAGTGGTAGGAAATCAGATCAGCATATTTTTGATCGGTGGAGAGTAGCTACTCCATGCACCTCAGGGAGAAGCCATAGAAACCCCACCCATCACCAAGCATGGCATCTGTCACTGAAGAATGGCTTTGTTCTTTTAGCCACCATGCTTTGTGGATAAGAGCAAGCCATGAGCAAGTCACAGAGAGGCTCATGCAAAGGCAAGTGGTGAAGGCAATAAGAGGAGTTTTGCAGTATTAAACGGCAGTCCTCACCTGAAAAAGTAGAAGGCCATTAGCAATCCAGCTCCCAGCAAAGCCCCTACTACGATTCCTGTCACCGCTGACTCTTCTAGGCCACCTGCTTGAAAAAGAAACATAAATCATCAGAGTTCATCTCAAGAAATAGTTAGAAATGTTTCAAGTCTCATTCATTGGAAGAGGTTTCTTTGTGTTCCTCAATTTTCCTTCTTAAAGAAAGGTGTTGTGGGAGCTCCTGCATTTGGGGATTTTTTTGTTTGCTTTTCCCCCAGTACAAAGTTTAAGATGCATGTTAAGAAAGAACTAGACAAGCCGCTGTACGTGAGGGAGCACAAAGCAGTAAAGCAGATCCAGAAGGTCTTGAGGAATGTGGGGAACTGCCGTTTTCAGCTGTCCTCAGAGTTGACACCTGGGTGGCCCGGGGGTGGCCCCAGAGCTTGTTTTCACAGATGGGTGGTGACACTTCAAAGTGCTGGGGAATTTGGTGAAAATTTTGTTGGGTTACTGTTCTGTTTTTAGATGTTCTCTCACCAAACCCAGAGATCCATGCCAAAATGTCCTATATAGCTTTGTGAAAATGTGAATAGCAATTGGAAACAATCACGTTCCCCAGTGTCCCAGTTATTACATAAGAGGAATAAAAGCTAACTTATACATGAAGTTGAGTGTACACCCTTTAATGCAACGTCTCATTTAATCCTCAAAAACAACCCTAAATGTGGGGCACGTTTCTTTCATTTTGCATATGGGGAAACTGAGGCTTACAGAGGTGAAGGAAAGTTCCGAAGACTGCAGTAAGTGTGTCACTAGGTGACAAGGGTGGGACCTCAAATAAGCCCAATAACTCCAACAACTGTGCTCTTGATACATTTTGTGGAAATCACCACATACACATAAGTTTGTCACAGTCTGAAGACTGGTCCTGAAACAGAACTCAAACATATCAACTTAGATATGTTTGAAAGCCGGATGTTCACTTTGTTCTCCTTCATTAGCTAACCAAAGGTCTCAGTAACGTAATGATGTCCAACCATTGTCCCTTTTGTAAGTTCCTAGTTAGAACACCTACTCGAGCCTATGCTCATAGAAGGCTGCTTGTCAATAAAAGACCGTACACTCATTAGACAAATTGTCTGATTTTGGCTGTTAAAGGATATTTTTCTGTTTGGTTCTGAGATTCAGCATGAGACTCTCTGTGAGATGAATATGGGGGGGACATTGGATATGTATCCTTTGATTTTCCCTAAAAATAGAAACCTCAAATGCTAAGAAATTATAATCGTGATAAAAGATGTAAAAATAGGGAAAGGCTTTCTACCATTTTGAAAAAGAAGACTAGAAGCCCCTAATAAGACAGGATGTCAGCTTGTGAATTATTCCACAGGGTTTCACCACATCAGAAAAAGAAATCCTAACTTTCAAACAGGCATCCTGGATGACACCTGTCTGTGAAATCGAGTGATGCTGGTACCAGAGATGTGCAGACACAGAGCAAATTAAGTCTCTAAACTTACATGATTTGCAAGGAGAGCTGTTGGTGTGCTCCACGATTCTGGTTTCATCTATTCTCAGTTTTAAAGGTCCCCAAGGATATTTGACGTTGGGCCGCATTTCAAAACGACCTTCTTTTCCAAAGTAATCCCCAATCACCTGGGTAAAAGGCACAAACAAATATACAAACTGAAAGGTCAGTTTACTTGTGTCTCCAGAAGGACAGGGCGGCCCCCTCTCACCCACAGGGACTATCATGGTGTGTTCTGAGGTCGCTGTATGTGAGGAGTTGGAGTGGCTTGTGTTGGTTTGAAAGAGGCACAATTGGGGGGGGGGGGGGGGCTGTGGCTCCTCAGCAGGGAAAGAGTTACACAGAAACAGAAGAATATAGGGAGCAGTAAGGCAGTGGAAGGAGCCGTGGGCTTTCCAAACTAAAGGCTGTCGGGCCAGCTAGTCTCTGAGGATCCCACAGTGGCTCCCGTGCAGTGGAAAGGGGGCGGGGGGGCCCTCTCCCTACGAAAACACACAGGGTACAGGACTCAGGGTGCCTTGGGGGTGGCTGTGCTGTGGGAACACCCATCTGAAGAGGTGTGAGCCTCTGCCTCTGAATCATGTCAGCTAACAAGAAAAAGTACCACAATAATAAAAAACAGTACAACTAATCTTAGGATTTATGACCTCCCTTGCTCACTGGAGAGGGTGCTGTGCCCCCATCTGCAGCAGTGCAGCCTGCTCAGTCAGCTGTTGGGGAGCCCCATTTGGCCCAGGGATTGTGAGGGAGAGCCTGGGCGCACCTGTCCCCAGGGTACCGATGTTAACATGATAAACCATTCAGTGGGCCCCTGCTTATCATTAAAGCATGAAAGAGAAGCTTCCAGGAACTTTCTCCTTCATTGTCTTCTGGCTGGAAAGCTATTCCCCCTGCCTGACTTTGGGGGGAGGGGTCCACAAGCTCCTCACTGACAAATTTACCCTTTCTGCACCTCCATTTCCAGGTTGAATACTCTTTTTCAACTGATCCCTGTCAGCCCTGGAACATCAGCATTCTTTTATGGCGCAGTTCAAAGTTCACCCTCAGTCCCGGGTTTAAAGGACTGTTCCTTCAGCTGTAGGAGCCTGATGTTCTGTGGCTTCGGGTTCTCAAGATGTTTCTCTTTCTCCAGCCCACCGCTTCAGAGTGGCCCCAACACCACCTCCTTCCTCTCCCAAAGGCAGCACTGCAGCCTCTCCCGCACTGTTTCATGTCAGAGTAAATTCCAGATCACCCCCCAAATATAACAATCGCAGGCACGGAGGGAGCACTCACCTAGCTCCTCCCATCCCATCCCTTCCCTCCGAGTCTCGAGTCTCGACCACAACCCCAGAAGGCACTCCACGCCCTCCTCTTACAGAAGGCAGGCTGGGTACAGGAGATGCCAGGCCGCTGCACTGAGACCTTCATCCCGGAGCCTAGCGAGTGCCCAGCGGGCCGACTGGGCCACACCACAGTGGACAGGCAGATATACCAAGAGACAACAAGGCCCTTGCCCAGGTCACAGAAATGCTACGGGGCAACCAGCCTGGGAAGCACAGAGCAAGCAGCATGATCTACCTGGAGCGCTGCACATCTGTATCGCTGCACTGTTTGTTTATCACTGAAAGTTTATACGTCCTCAACAAAGGAGGGGTGCGTACAAGGTGGGGGGGCACAGCGCATTGGGGGGGTGGACTGTGGGTGCTTTGGGAGGGGAGGGGCCTACAGTACCGTGTGAGGAAGGGGATCCTGTATTTTAAAATATGAACAATGTACACCAACATTATCTCAATTTAGAAAATTATAAATAAAATGACATTTCTATAGTATTGTTCTGGGACTTTTTTTTATCTGGTCTTCACGATAATCATGAAAGAAGGAAGACATGGCGGTGTCCATGTTACAGGTGAGGAAACTGAGGCGGGAGCTATCATCCCGGGTCAGAAACCCCTTCTCATGTCCAGAGCACTCTTTTCTTTTCATGATGCTCTTTTTGAAACTCTATCACCTTTTGAAATACTAATTCACGTCCAGTTGTGACACCCCACCAAGAAAAAAATATCTAAATTTTCAAAGAGGAAATAAATACAGTTTCACTTCACGCCTTCCATCACAGGCCTGTCCTGCCTCTCAGGGCCGGGCTGTGACGTCAAGGGCAGGGCTTCCCCGCTCACAGTACGCTGAGCCGTTTCCTGGACCCCCCATCCTCGCCCCCAGACCCCAACTGGAGGCGGCCTCCCTCCCTGGAAGCTCCCGCGTCTTAAGCTCGTATCTGTGTGGAGGCTGCCTTGGGCACTGTTATTTGGACGCAGGACACACATTCCTTGGGATCTCAACAAGCAGAAGCCGCCGGGCCAGAACCGTCTTTGCTCACCTCCTGGGTGCCGGCTTCCGGGTCGGTCATGGCGATCACGGAGAAATCCCCGTATCGGTCTCCGTTGGCGTCTATGGACACCTGGCCGGCTATCCCTACAGGAGACGTGAGAGAACTCCGAGTTACTTACTCACAGCCCCTCTGACCGCCAACAAAAACAAGAAAATGAATTGACAGGATTTTTTAAACAAACTCATGCCACAGGGAATCTCATCAGACACAGAGCTTTTTGCTGGCCTTTGGAAAGACATTGTAATTTCATCTGTGTCTGCATTCCTAAATTCTTAACATTTCTCCATTTAAAATGAAAAGAAAAAGAAATAAATGACCTCCTTTGGGGAATATATTAAAAAAAAAAAAAGGACAGGCTAACACTCAAAACAGCCTACTAATTCCCTAGTTTTAGATAAGTTAAAAAAAAAAAAACGCAAAGTGGGAGGCGGCCGTGGGGTACATTCCTAACCTTGTCGTGGCTTCAGGTTATCACTGGAGAAAGAAAACTCCTCCCAGGCCCCAGCTCTATGATGGGCTGTGGCACTGGCTCCTTTGATGCACAGGAGAGCAGAGAACCTCCTTCCCAGGCCCTGCAGCCAGGAGCTGAAGAGTTAGTTTCTGTCCTACCAGGTCACTCACCCATTGTTTATCCACAGGCTTTCTGGGTGGTTACAAAGTGCGGATTTAATGCCACAGCTGAGGCAAAGATGCAATGAACACATTCTTTGCCCACAAGAGGAGCAGCCTGGCACCAGATTCTAGCTACTGGCACTGGCATCATAGATTCACATTTACTAGCTCTGTGCCCTTGTGCAAGGTCCAAGCCCTTCAAGCCTATAGAAGAGACACATAAGTCCCTGCCTACCTTGAGGCTGCTGAGATTAAATGAGATAAAACAGGTAAAGCACTTTCAACACAGCCTCATGAGAAGCTATTGCCTGTGTTATTATTACCATCATTGTGCCTAGAACACAGAAAACATCTGACCATCCCTGCGGCCCTCAAAGGAGAAGCCGGCCCAGCCAGCTGGAGAAGCTGGAATACTCAGTGGAACAGCTTTTACAAGGGCGTTGGAGAAAGTCTAGAACGTGGACATGCAACCATCAAGGATTGGGAGTATTCTAGGTACAGAGGTTGCCCTAACTAGCCAAACCCTGAGGCCCCAAGGAGCACTGTGTAGGAAGGGGAGCAGCGGTGGAGGCTGGAGCATGTGGTGGGAGCAGAGAGCCTTAGGACTTTCACAGAGGCTATGGATTTGCTCTGGCTGGCAGTGGAGGCTTAGAACAGCCAATCGATACCAACAAATGTGTATCGTTAGTCGGTGTGACTGTGTCTGTATTGTAATTTTCATTAGCTAAGTAAAAGACTGCATATGTCAGCCACTTTCGAATGAGCTCATTTGTTCGCTTTCTCTTTAAACCACGGTAGGCTGCAGTGTGATTCTTAATTGGTGTTTCTGTTGATTTGGTTCTCTGCAGAAGTAAAATGAACGTCCTGGAAAAAGAATCCCAAGGGAAAGTTCCATGCTCTAGTGTGGCTTGGAGAGGGCAGGTATTTGGGTTGACTGTCCTTTGGGTTGTGGTTTGAAGGCTCAATTATTTTTCCAGACTTTGGTCTACTTTACCGGAAACAGAATGGAGCTACCGATTCATCTTGATTTTTTTGTCTTCTTAATATAGATGGGTTACAAAGGATACAACCTATCTCTGACTTGTTTATCCTTGTCGGCCTATAAATCTTTTATGTGCTAAATATCATTTTTTTAAGTATATTTACATCCAAACATGCTGGCTATTCAAAACCTGTGTCATCCTGGTCAGACATGTTTATGGCGGTATGTTCTCCTAAGCGTTCTGCAGAGTATTTTATAAGACAAGGAGGCGCTCCTAATCCAACACCTCATTACACTTGATGCTATTACAACGCTGCCGAGAAATGGGGTGAGAACCCTCAGGGTAGCCAATTAGCAAGTGAGACTTCACCTGAGAGTACTGTGTCCAAGGTGAGGTCAGGCTGACAGCAGAACTTTCCTGTACATAAGTAATGAGACTCTCCACCCTCGTTTTCATTGGCCTGGAGAGAAGCTCAAGACTTGAGCCACAGTCCTATTTACCTCGTCACTTCTATCTGTCACACAGAGAAGAAATTCAGCTTCTTCGCAGGCCCTTTTTTGAAAAACTTGGGAGTTGGTCACAGGTTTCATGGTAATAAAATCCAAATTTGTCAAGTAACATCCAGGGTAGTTTTCCCTTGACAACTTAATGGTCACTTATATGACCATTAAACTTAAAAGTGTTTTTAATGTTGGAAAACTTGGGGTTTTTCTGCACACAGCTACTTTAAAGTTCTAGGGAGAGAAGGGGTTACACTCTGATTGACTGTTGATTAGTAAATAAGATGGGTTCTTTTTACAAGTCAAGCTCAAAACTTGCCTTACTTGTCATTATCTTTACATTTGAACAAACAGGATTCTAAATTTAGACTGAACTACATAGGGCAATACAGATTCATTTCACCTTGCCTGTGTAGACCTGGCCCAGAATGAAAGCAGAAGGCCGCTGCTGGGGACATGTAACCCGTGCCCCTGGCTCCAAACAAAACTGGGCTCCAGTCATCATGGGCACTTGCCCTGCCTTAAACAACCCCCTCTCAGAAGACCAGGAACACATGACCACGGGCGGGCAGGAGTGGCCCAGAGCGGGATGTGGCCTACCTACCAAGGTTGTGTCCACACATGCTGGCTTCCCGTGTATTGGGCACAACTTCTGGGAAATCTGAGCTTGTCCTAACGTGCCCCTGAATTATCCTATTTGACTACAGCTCCCCACTGCAGTAGTCAAGGTCAACAAGCAAGGACAATCCTGAAGACCTTGCATCTGCCAGGCCGTCTAATGGGAAAGCAGGCATCACTCTGGTCTCCAATGGGAGGTGGCATTTCCTAAACCCACCCAAGTGAAATGAAGCCCACCAGCTGTGACCAGCTGGAGACCACCAGCAGACCCTTTAGAAGGCAACACCATGCTTTTGGACCCAAAAGTTCCATGTCTAGGAACATCCCCTGTTAAATGTATTCACAGAAATTCTTATGCAGTTATATGGTAGAAAAATATGGAACTACCACGTTTTAAATGGGCTAAACCTGTGAGTGCTCATCTGGAAAATTCTTTTACTTGACATAAGAGTCAAAAAAAAGTTTAGATGAATAGCATTCATAGTCTGATCCTTTTGTATAAATTTTTAGATAAGATATACAAATGCTTATGTGCTGGCAGAAGGCACAAAATATTTTTAGACAGAATCATAGGAAATTGTGAATAGTGATTACTTTGGGGAGAGGAAAGCAGGGTGGGAAGGAAAACTTTCACTTTTCATTTTGTACATTTTTGTACTGTTTTAAATCTTCTAGCCAAGAAGTGTCTCATTCTTGTACACTTGTTAAATGTCAATAGGGCTTGCTTAAGTAATGAGGTTATAGACCTTTTTTTTTTTTTGGTTGTAGTTCTTGTGCCTCTTTGTTCTTAAGAGAGCAACAACTAGTGTTTTTATTTTAAAATAAAATAAAAACAGAAAACTCATTTGAAAGTGTTCATCATCTCAAATGACCCATGTTTGAACAGAGAATGATTTCTTTTAAAACTGAACACAGAATTCTTCACAAACACTTCTTGTGGCTGTGGTTTGTGATCAGTCTAATACAAAGAGCATAGAGTTGTTATCCAATGCTGAAGAAGAGAAAGCACGCTCCCTATTTCAGCGGGACTTCAGCAAAGCACTTTCATGAGCTTTGTCTCATTTAATTTCACAAGCCTGAGCAGCACGTTGGTCCTGACTTAATATCCTTACTGTATAGCTGTGAAAAACAGATGCTGGTAAGTTCCCACTGTTGTAAGAAAAAAGCAGAACAAGGTGAGAAGGAGCTAGAAAGACTGCAGAGTGCTATCACCTTAAAGATGGAATCCTCACCTTCAAATGTTCTGTTCCAAGTCTGCTGGATAATTTTTCCTCCATCCTTCTTGCTGTAGCCCGCTCTGAGAACTTCATGTAAAGCCAGGGCATAGAGAAGGATGGCATCATGAAATCCTTCAACAAACATGTTAACCTGGAAAGGAAACCCCATGGGATGAGTTGACACAGAGGACTGACATTTGGGAATAATGCAAGCAAATTAAAATGGTGAAAAGGTAGACTCGAGGTCCAGAGGCAATAGCAGAGGGGGGCAGAAGAGTAGCTAAGTGGAAAGCTCCTTGGTTTTCCTGGCAATGACTCAGTGAGCAAGAGCTTTCCACAGGAAGAGCTCTGGGAGTAGACAAGCTAGAGGATCAAGAGCTGGGTACCTATTGACAGGTTCGGTCTCCCAGGTACATCAGTTCCCGTGGGCCTCTCCCTTCTCCCTGCATCTGCTCTCTACCTCAAGTCACCTCAAGTCCAGCCTCTCCTTGAGACCTTCTCCAGCTTCAACAGCCCCCACAATCTCTCTGAGCTCTGAATGAAGAGCGTAAGGAAGAGCACAGTAAGGATTCACCATTCACATTCAGATATTACTGAGCGCCCCACTTCGTGCTGGTGCTGACGTTACAAAGAGAGGCACGACCTGCCCTCGCCACTGCGCTACCCACACTTCCACTCTGTCAGCTGTAACATCTCATTTTCTCTCCACTTTACATTTTTTTAAAGATTGATTTACTTATGCATGGAGAACTGGGGTATAAGTCAGAGGAGTGGTGGGTTAGAGGATTCACCAGAGACAGTGGGGAGCAGAACAAGCAGATCTACGAAGTACACTGCTGAGGGGAGCAGTGGGCGGGTCAGGAGAGGTCTGCCTCGCCATGTGGTCACCTCCCTGGCGGGGGATTGAACTCATACTGCAGTGGCTTCAGAGAGATTCATAATGTGGTGCTTTAACCCACTGTGCCACCAGGGAGAGCCTCCACTTCATATTTGAAAGGCCCCTAAACACCACCACTCCCTGCTTACACCCCTGCCTAGCTCCAAGGGCAGGATGGAAACAGGCCTGGGTCTCTGATTTACCCCAGTCAGTTCTGCTCCAGTGAAATAGCCCTCAGTTCACTTCCGGGCTCACGAGAGGTTGAGGACATCACTAATCAGTTTGAGCCTCGTTTCCTTCTTTAAGCATTTGACCATTACTTTAAATTGCTTTTCAACATGAAGCTCTTTTTTAAAAAAACTTTTTATTGAGGTGCATTGATTTACAACACTCCGGGCTCACGAGAGGTTGAGGACATCACTAATCAGTTTGAGCCTCGTTTCCTTCTTTAAGCACCACTCATTCGGCAAGTTCGAATGCCACACTGAACCACTGTAGTATTCATTAGACATGAAATGCATATCTATAATCTTGAAACAGTGAGCAACTTACAAATAGTAGAAAAGTACAAAATATTCTGAGCCTTCTTAGTTCAAGAGGAGGACGTGTCAAGAACAGCAAAGCAGCAGAGTGAACTGGGTGTTGTGATATCGACCACGTGCGGTTTTGTGATGGGCCTTTGCTGCCCAGTTTGGAAAGGCCCTGTGGGAAGACACCACAACTGACCAGTGTCACCCGGGCAAATACACGGTCACAGAAGACAAGACTCAACTTCTCTTCCACATGGTCTCAAGCCCCCTTGGCGGGGGGAGAGGGGGGTGAGCATGACAGAGACAAATATTTCAGGTTTATCAAAGACAAGTAAAGTGCATATACGTGGGCTGCAGTGGAGGAGTGGGGTGCCTGCAGGGGTGTGGGTGGGTGTGTATCAGAAGCAGCAAGATCTTAAACCTCTGATCACTACAGTGTTGTAAATCAATGCACCTCAATAAAAAGTTTTTTTAAAAAAGAGCTTCATGTTGAAAAGCAATTTAAAGTAATGGTCAAAAGAGCCTGGGCCTGTTACCAGCTCGGCCACTTCCTAGCTGTGTTTCTGTGCCGCTCTGTGTCCCGGTTCCCCCCAACTGGGACATGGGGACAGTAATCATCCAGTCTCGTGGGGCTGCTGTGAGGTTTAAATGAGCAGAAAAGACCTCAGACGGTGCCTAGCACAGTCAGCTCTTACTGTTAGCTTGTTATTGTTTCTATAGAGTTCCAGCGTGGTTCCTTAACCCTAAGAGCAGGACTCAGAATGACTGACTTTCAGACTGGCACTCCATGTCTCACTGACCCTTCTTACACGTTATGGAAACTAAAGGTCTTTGTTCATGCTTGGGCATTCCACACAGCTCTCTTCCACGAAGTCACCCTGAATTCAAGCCCATTGCTTCCATGAGTGCTCTGGAGAGGTGGAGGGAGGGGAAGAGTCCTGAGGCAGTGGGAGCTCTGAGTTAACCACTAGACTCAAAATCTAATCCTAGCTTTGCTACCTAATTTCCTCTCTCTTACCTTCCATGTCCTTGTGGGTTAAACAGAGCATTGGTACCCACTCATAGTGTTTTGGAAGGATTAAATAAAGGAATGAATATAAAACATCTAAAACAGTTCTTGGGACTGTAAAAGCCAAGGGGAGACATTTACTCTTAGGCGTCAAGCTTAAGTCCCAGAGTCATTATTTTCTTAGGCAAAGAAGAATAGTGTCGAAATAACATCTACTAGTCAAAGATAATTTTCTACAGAGCTGGCTGTGCTAATTCTATTTCCAAAGGCATATGAAATGTTCACTTAGGCCATGAAGTACTCAGGGCCTGAGAAAGTATGCATGCTGATGAGATAATGCATTTTAATACGTGGACTTCAGCAGTGTCATTTAACTTCCAGGCCATCATGAGGAGAACTTTTTTCAGAAGATCCACGTCCTCTTTGATAAAAGTATAAAACCTGTCCTGCTACAGACAGAGGTCAACAAGATGCAGAATCATGGGATATGGACAAGGTAAGGCACCTTAGAAAAGCTCTGGCTCTGCTCCTTTCCTTTCGGTGAGGGACAAAGGGCATCAGTCTCCCCCAGCCTCCCTGTGCTCTGAATTGAGGGTTACTCCCTCTGTATGCCATGTTCCTTTCTGACTCCTCCAAATCCTAACTCAGGGCCACTAGGCTGCCATTGACCACCCAAAGCATTATATGTGGCCCAGTCTGGCCTTTCCAATCCTTCCTGAGGTGATAGCCTTCTGAGCTTCCCCCTCTATGATCCAGGATGGAAGAAACATGAACTTGGTCACTTTCAGGTTTGGTGGCAGAAGAGAATCAATGAGCTCTGAACACATGCCAGGTCTGAAGACTCCTTTTACCCTGATTTGTAAATGGGTTGAAAAATTCACCTTTTTCCCCGCTCTCTGAAGCTGAGTGTCTCCCTCTCCTGCCAAAATTAGCAGAAGAGCTTCTGACGCCCACCAAGGCTCACTGGCACCCTAGCTTGCTGCGGGGGAAGTTTCAAAACACCTACCTCATAGGACCTCAAGCCAAAAGCAAAACCCTAGAGACCATCTTTTCTCGAGGAGAACATTCTCACATCCACACGTGTTTTTTAATGGGAGGAAAGCCCGTTAGCACATTATAGACACTGAAAATAGGAAGTGCAAATTAAAAAGAAAAAATAAAAGAGAAAAAAATTCAGAGTACTAAGTTGCCTTTGGAACACCTTCCAGTAGACCTCTGGGCTGAAAGGAGCAAGATCATCTGTGTTATGCCCTGCTAAGAGCAAGACGTGAACCTCAGAGTCCTGACTGACATACCATGCTGCCGTGACAGAGGACAGGGAATTGGGCTCCCTCACCTGACAACATATTCTAATATTTAGCATCATTAAGGTAGCCAGAAGGTTCTTCCTGTCAGCCATTCCTTACTGCTAGCCATAGGACTTCCTAAACACAGAAAATTCCCCTCCTAGATGCTAAACAAAATGAGTTAAGAAAATAATACAGTTCATGATTCCTGGGAGTTTACAATCTTAACTAAACAATGCAGCCACTCCACACACCACATACATGGGCACCCCTACAAGCACACATGGGCCCCACTACAAGCACACATGGACACCACTCCACATACCACACACACACGGGCCCCCCACACACACCACACACACGTGGACCCCACTACACACACCACACACACCACACACACGTGGACCCCACTACACACACCACACACATGGTGTCCAGCGAAGCAGCTGTGAAGTGGACCCCAGTGAGGGACAAGCTCAGGTGATGATTACTTGTGCTGGGTACCACAGAAAGTGTAACTCAAACAAGATGGAATTCAGCATCTTCCACAATCTTCCATTCACGCACCATCATCCATTCACTTTGGGGAATCTGCCAGACATGACTGCATGCTGGCATTGTCTCTCCCACCATTTCATCTTGAATCTCTTGATTTTGTCCTCTGCTAGTTGGCGGCCAGCAGCAGGTATTTCCAATGGGGAAATGCTATTTTTGCCTTTGGCCTTCCTGTCTGATAGCACCTATCAATCATGTCTATTCACTCCCCTATCATGAAGAGAACTGAATAGAAACCCTGTTTTTTCTGAACTGAATACAAAGGGTTGCCATTCACAACAGGCTCCAATCTCCTGGAAGAGGCAAATTCAGAGACAAATTCCTCAATGCTTGTGCCCCAAACAAGTAGGCAGAGAGAACTATGAGCTCAGCTGTTCTGTAAACTGAGAGAGAGTGAGCCGAGCAAGCCTGCAGAGGAGAAAGCTACCCAAGTTAACTGCATGAGAGGCCGACCCCAGTTTTGCTTGTGGTGTCCACGGGAGCTCAGTCCTTAACCACAAACCAGTGGTTCACAGTGCAAGAAAGGGGTGGGGAGGGTGCTTGCCAACATTTCTGGTAAGTCTTGTGAAAAAGACAAGACCCTTAACCTCCCATTAGGGTGGAGGGGGCCCAGGGAATGGGAACCTGCCCTTTGTCCATGGTTGCTGGAACAATGGCAGCAGCATCCGTCTGACTGGTGATGATCAGAACCTTGTCCCGCATTCTGGGCCAGTGGAGATGGAGGCAACAGACGGCAGTGCATGGACTGGCCAAGACTGAGGGACAGTGTGCTGGTGGTGAGCCCCGCGTTCACGCCTGCCATACAGTAAGACAGACACTGTTTTCATTCGATTTTCTTTTAAATCAAGAAATGAAATGCATACAATTTAGGTAGGGAAACAGCAGGAATTTCCA